TTTTTTAAAAAATAGAGCTCCTGGTATGTAATTCAAAGGTTGAAGTCGATATATATCAGGGGTCTGCAACCTTAAACACTGAAAGAGCCATTTGGACCCGTTTCACACAGAAAAGAAAACACCGGGAGCCTCAAAACCCTTCCTATGCCTGACTATTTCTTGAATGGCCACAAAACTAGCATATGTAGTTGAATTAAACATTCTGTTTTCTTCTGAAACTTTTCTTTTCTTGGATTTATCTATTGTTGGTCTACCAGGGTTTGAAAAGCTCAATAACCGCCTGCTACCACCAATAGCCTCCCACCGGCCAGTACGTTCCCATAGAGAGGGGCTCCTCCGGGTGCCGTTGGCCAAACAATGTTGACTGGCGGCCCCTAGGGGGAGAGCCTTCTCTGTGGGGGCACCTACGATCTGGAACGAGCTCCCCCCGGAGATACAGAGGATCCCGGATCTGCGCACCTTCCGTCGCGCGCTTAAGACTCTTTTATTTCATCAAGCTGGCCTGGCCTAAATCTTCTCCCCTTTTTAAATGTAAATTTTAATTTGTTTTAAATTATGGGGTATTTTAAATTCAGCCAAATTATTTAATTCGTTTTTAATCTATTTTACATTTTTGTATTTATGTGTTTTATCTTGTGGCTTTTCACCGCCCTAGGTCCTTCGGGAGAAGGGCGGTATAGAAATTTTAAAAATATAAATATAAATATAAATATAAATATAAATATAAATATAAATGAATGAATGAATGAATGAATGAATGAATGAATGAATGAATGAATGAATGAATGTATGTACAGTCAGGTCCAGAAATATTGGGACATCGACACAATTCTAACATCTTTGGCTCTATACACCACCACAATGGAGTTGGAATGAAACAAACACAATGTGCGTTAACTGCAGACTGTCAGCTTTAATTTGAGGGTATGTACATCCAACTCAGGTGAACGGTGTAGGACTTACAGCAGTTTGCATATGTGCCTCCCACTTGTTAAGGGACCAAAAGTAATGGGACAGAATAATAATCATAAATCAAACTTTCCCTTCTTAATACTTGGTTGCAAATCCTTTGCAGTCAATCACAGCCTATGTGTCTGGAACACATAGACATCACCAGACGCTGGGTTTCATCCCTGGTGATGCTCTGCCAGCCTCTACTGCAACTGTCTTCAGTTCCTGCTTGTTCTTGGGGCATTTTCCCTTCAGTTTTATCTTCAGCAAGTGAAATGCATGCTCAATGGGATTCAGGTCAGGTGATTGACTTGGCCATTGCATAACATTCCACTTCTGTCCCTTCAAAAACTCTTTGGTTGCTTTTGCAGTGTGCTTTGCGTCATTGTCCATCTGCACTGTGAAGCGCTGTCCAATGAGTTCTGCAGCATTTGGCTGAATGTGAGCAGATAATATTGCCCGAAACACTTCAGAATTCATCCTGCTGCTTTTGTCAGCAGTCACATCATTAATAAATACAAGAGAACCAGTTCCATTGGCAGCCATACATGCCCACACCATGACACTACCACCATCATGCTTCACTGATGAGGTGGTATGCTTAGGATCATGAGCAATTCCTTTCCTTCTCCATACTCTTCTCTTCCCATCACTCTGGTACAAGTTGATCTTGGTCTCATCTGTCCATAGGATCTTGTTCCAGAACTGTGAAGGCTTTGTTAGATGTTGTTTGGCAAACTCTAATCTGGCCTTCCTGTTTTTGAGGCTCACCAATGGTTTACATCTTGTGGTGAACCCTCTGTATTCACTCTAGTGAAGTCTTCTCTTGATTGTTGACTTTGACACACATACACCTACCTCCTGGAGAGCGTTCTTGATCTGGGCAACTGTTGTGAAGGGTGTTTTCTTCACCAGGGAAAGAATTCTTTGGTCATCCACCACACTTGTTTTCCGTGGTCTCCCAGGTCTTTTGGTGTTGCTGAGCTCACCGGTGCATTCCTTCTTTTTGAGAATGTTTCAAACAGTTGTTTTGGCCACGCCTAATGTTCTTGCTATCTCTCTGATGGGTTTGTTTTGTTTCTTCAGCCTAATGATGGCTTGCTTCACTGATAGTGACAGCTCTTTGGATCTCATCTTGGGAGTTGACAGCAACAGATTCCAAATGCAAATAGCACACTTGAAATGAACTCTGGGCCTTTTATCTGCACATTGTAATTGGGGTAATGAGGGAATATCATACACCTGGCCATGGAACAGCCGAGAAGCCAATTGTCCCATTACTTTTGGTCCCTTAACAAGTGGGAGGCACAGATACAAACTGCTGTAAATCCTACACCGTTCACCTGAGTTGGATGTACATACCCTCAAATTAAAGCTGACAGTCTGCAGTTAACGCACATTGTGTTTGTTTCATTCCAACTCCATTGTGGTGGTGTATAGAGCCAAAGATGTTAGAATTGTGTTGATGTCCCAATATTTCTGGACCTGACTGTATGTATGTATGTATGTATGTAGAACCCAGCCCTGTTTGCGGTCCCAAGTAACTTCAAAGGGTCACTGAATGAATGGTTGTTAATTGATGACTGTATGTGGAAGCGATAGTAACAACAACAACAATAATACAAAATAATAGTATTTTTCTAGGAGGTGAGTCAAATGAAAACTGTAATATAATACTTGCTATAATGACATCCCGGATGGTGTGTCAAGTCCCTGGCCTATTTAGGACTTTGTACGAAACTATTTTGCAGCGACAAGAAAGAATTCAAAAGCTTTTGCTTTTATTTATTATTAACCACAGCTATTCACTCAGTCTGAACCTAATCTGTGATTCATCTAACTGTAGTTTAGGAAGGAAAAAAAAGGCCAATCTACACTATTATTTTCAGGTTACTTTTTTTTCAATAAATCAAAATTAAGATAAGCTGTGTTTGTTTAATAGTTGCTATAGGAAATAATATCATTTACATACACATGGAATGTATATTTATCCTACTTTTTAAATTAAGATCCCCAGAAATATATATTTCAGTGAGCAACTCTAGATTGAAACAAAAAAACTCAGCATTGTATCTAAATAGTAGTTACAATATGCAGAGATAACACAGAAATAGAAACATACAGCTGTACACATGTTGTAAGGGAATATGAGAAAATGACCAACTTTGGAGAGGGTGTGATGAGTTAGTGAAAATAATTGTATTAGACAAGGTAATAACACATATAAAGAACAATATGGATGCCTTTTGTCTAGAAAATGAATTTTTTTCCTTTTTGAGTTTTGTTGGTATAGGACAGTGATGGCTAACCCTTTTTCCCTTGGGTGCAGAAGGCGTGCACGCTATCACAGATAGTCTGAAACGGCCCGTTTCCGGACTTCCAGGAGGCCCGTTTTTCACCCTACCAGAGGGTCTGCGCGAGTCCTGTACTTACCTGGCATCCAAAACGGGCCATGTGGAGACTCCTGGGAGCGGAGGGGCGGCATGGGTGGGGCCAGCCGAAAATCTGCTGGCTGGAGGGAGGCGCATGTGCGGTGGAGCTGACCTAGGGCAACGACTCGCGTGCTCACAAAGATGGCTCCATGTACCACCTATGGCATGCGTGCCATAGGTTCGCCATCACGTGTATAGGACAACCAATAAAAGCTATGCCACCAACACTGGGGCTGATTGAAAGTATTTCTTTTTTGTGTGATGTCCCCAGAAAAAAAAAAATCCATCTTTGCCTTGCCAGCAAGTTGTAATATGTAAATAAAAGTCATACTGGTGATAAGTTATGATTTTTGGTAGTTTGAGAGTTCACTTAACAAAGGGACCTGCCCTTTGGTTGTTAGAAAATATTTATTTTTCTTGACGATTCAGCGTATAATCCAGCAAATGGTTCCCATCAAACACAACAATCAAATATGGAATTGTGTGGTTCAGTGAGCTGCTCAACTACCAGGGTGGATTTGATTTAAATCGAGTTGATTTAAATCATGATTTAAATCACTAGTAAAAAGGCTTGTTTTAAATCAACTCGATTTAAATCATAATTTTTAAAGAGCAACTGTCATCTCTGCTACTCCTTTGACCCACTGTTGACTCACCGATAGTCCCAGTGTTGCAGAATATACAGCCTCATGCTACATAACTGAGCTCCATTTCATGCTGAATAAACTAAATTATTTCTGTATCTTAAATGGAAAACTATCTTATGATAGATTTTTACCCCAAAAGTTTTATATTAAAATAAATTCGATAAAAATCAAAAAAATCCAATTTAAATCAAAAAAATCTGATTTTTTTTAATTTTTTTAAAAAAAATCATTGATTTTTATCCACCCTGTCAACTACTACTACTTCCAGAATCTAACATCCGTCCAGCTTTCTTGAAGGGAAGGAAAAAAAGGGTTCCTAAAGGATAAAATACTGCAGATCAGGTGTATCTGTGGCCCAGTAAAATCAATTGTGTAGTATTCTGCGTCGGATGGAGTGCCGATATAGAATAGCTTGATGTAAATAAAACCCTGGATTTCTGTTGGTTAAATAGCACTAACAATTCCAGATGTGCCTTGAAATTCATTGTCATTCTATTTCAATTCCACTTAGTGCTATACGAAAGCAGGTTGTTTGTTGCAGAATAATTTACTATCATCATGAATATCAAGTGCAGCATCCCTGAAGTTTTCCGTCCCTGAAAGGCACTAGTAGTTTTCCACGATGGGAATAAGAACTTCATATTCACTACATTGCAGCTGTTCCAATGTAATGACTCCTGAGTTGAACAAGTTATCCTTTATGGTTTTGATTCAGAAGGAATCTGATGTAGTAAGGATGTTTCTCTGTCCCACCCACCCACTCCACAAAATCTGGTCTCCAGCTGATGTATCATGGAGTTAATTAAACAGAAATGTTATTTTTTAGGATCTTCTTTCCCTTAGTTTCTATGTAAATAACCTTAGCGAGAGCTTCTGCAGTAATCCTTTAGTTGGAAGAGCAGGTAGCACAGAATGAATTATTTACCGTTCATCTTGTTTATTTGGTTTTTTTTTTTAATTCTCTCCGTAGGCGTTTAAATACTTTAAACAAGTGTGCAATGATGAAACTAGAAATCAGCCCACACAGGAAACGGGTAAGTATATTTGACAAAACTATTGCAATATTGTACATAGTTGGTGGGAATGACCCTGAAAATGCACTTGTAAACCACATCTCTATGTATTGACATATAACAGGGTGTCAAATCAAGGCCCGCAGGCCGGATCCAACCCACAGTGTGCTTAGATCTGGCCTGCCTAGAAACAGCAAAGGACCAGCCCGCGTTCCAGGCCCCCCTAGAAATAGCAAAGGACCAGCCTGCGGTGCCTCTGCCAGCGAAAGGGGGGGGGGGGGGGGGGGCGCTGCACAAGCTCTGTTTTTGCTGGCAGAGGGCTAGCAAAACAAGCTAAAAACAAAACAAAATGGAGAAAGTGACATAGAACTGGCCACACCCACCCTGGCCCCACCTGCCATGCCCCCCCCCCCAAGATCAAACACAATCCTGATGCGGCCCTCAATGAAATCGAGTTTGACAACTCTGACATAGAAGCACAGCTGGTCTCTTTTTAGAGGAAGCACAACTTCTGGGAGTTGAAGTCCTCCAGGCTTAAAGTTGCCAAGGTTGGAGATCTCTGCTCTATAAACCAAGACAATACCATTTGCATGTCTAATGTTGTACAGTGCAGGTATTGCCAATGGAAGCAACACGTTTTATCAGGCACGTTTTCAGGGTCTGGGGAATAACACTATGCCCTAAAGGGAGAGGCCTGACCTGCCCATCCACATAACTCTTCCCCACCTCCCACCCCTTAGGAAAACGCATGCAAATGGAAAGCCAAGCTTATCAGTTCTGAAAAGTTTGTGCTTTTAATTTTCTAATTTAAAAGTCAATCAGATCGTCGTGTTTTAAATTCCTCTCTCTTTTTTTTTTTTCCAGTCTCTAAATAAATAATTGGGGGGGTGCTTGGAATGTAATATGGATACTGTATCCATTTCTCCAAATGCATCAAGTGAAATATTTTTAAATATCTTTTTTTCCCCCAGGTTTTTTTTTGTTTGTTTATTTTTTATAAAAATATCAAATCAATGCGTGAACAGTGTGGCATCTGAGTGTCATACATTCTAATACAAATAAAACTAATCAAGTTAATCATAATCCTTACATTCAGTCCGCTTATATATTTCTAATAATAATGCATACTTATATTAAGTTGTAGTCTATCATTAAGATATATAAATATCTTAAGTAAAGCTTGAAAAGCACAATTTTATATTGCTATGGACAAAACTGAAATAGGGAAAGGAAAGGCCTTAGCTTCAAAAAAAAAATCTCTCTTGGGTCTTATTAGTTATACTTTTTAAAAAGATTTCCCCCCTGCCTTTATTATATTCATAAATAACTCAAGGTGGCAAACATATTAAATGTTCCTTCCTCCTCCTATTTTCCCCATAACAACAACCCTATGAGATATGTTGGGCTGATAGAGAGAAGGACTGGCCCAAAGTCACCCAGACAGCTTTCATACCTAAATTGGAACTCGAACTCAAAGTCCTCCTGGTTTCTAATCTGCTCCTTTAAACATTAGACAAAACTAGCAAACTTGCCAGACCTTTTAAATGAGCAAAGAGTTCTAAGATGCTACAATTCAAACATCTCATAATTCTAGTGATGGCACAACGATTAAATTGCAGGATTGCAGGCTGCTGATTGCCAGGAGATTCGGCCCAAGGTTGACTCAGCCTTCCATCTTTCTCGGTAAATGAGGAGCCAGATTATTGGGGGCAGTATGCTGACTCTGTAAACTGTTAGAGGAGGCTGAAAAGCAGGGGTGAAATCCAGCAGGTTCTGACAGGTTCTGGAGAACCGGTAGCAGAAATTTTGAGCAGTTTGGAGAACCGGCAAATACCACCTCTGGCTGGCCCCAGAGTGGGGTGGGAATGGAGATTTTGCAATATCCTTCCCCCAGGAGTGGGGAGGGATGGGGATTTTGCAGTATCCTTTCCCTTGAGTGGGATGGGAATGGAGATTTTGCAGTATCCTTCCCCTGCCACGCCCACCAAGCCACACCCACATAACTGTTAGTAAAAAAATTTGAATTTCACCACTGCTGTAAAGCATTATGAAGCGATATATAAGTCTGCTATTGCTATTGCTAGTGTGGTAAATCAATGTAGGAAAACATATCAACAGCAACTAAGGTTGCAGAAATGTTGCCTTTATCGGTTAAGTAAAACATTTTTCACATGTCCTAATTTTTCACTGATCTTAGTAGTATCCAGTATGACTAATGGAGCATTAGATAATAAAGCAAAGAAATTCCAATATCAACAAAATCAGCTACGGGAGGGAGGGAGGGAGGGAAGAAGGAAGGAAGGAAGGAAGGAAGGAAGGAAGGAAGGAAGGAAGGAAAGAAGAAAGAAAGAAAGAAAGAAAGAAAGAAAGAAAGAAAGAAAGAAAGAAATCCTCAAGGCTAGGAATCTAGGATAGGAATCTCTGCCCTTCATGTCAGTATTTTGTTGCCATCTAATAAGTTATCAATCAAAGAAACTAGTATGGGAGCTCAGATAATGAACAGAATATGAAGGCAAAAGCCTATTGAAAATGATCTGAATATGGTTGTAGTAGATTGGTTGTATATTTATATAAGTTGTGCTGCATGCTGTACAGAAATGTTATTTATACGAAAGAAGGGAGAGCAGGCAGCCATCCCTTAAGGTATCTAGATCAGAAACCAGAAATAAACAAATACATATAAAAATCAAACAAACTGGCATGATGCATTCCAATGGCCTTATTTGAGTCAATACTTAGCAGAAGCATTTAGTTCCAGTTGCTGAATGTTTTTTTCAAGGACACGGCTCTTGTTAGAGTAGCATTAGTTAACCAGGAGTTCCACATAGGGATGGGTAACGTCTGATTAAGATTTCTAGAAGGACATTTCAGATATTTCTCCATCTGGAAAGTCCTAGCTTCAAGCAGTGATGGGAACTGAAGAATTTTGTGGCAAGTTTGTGTGGTTAGGCACACCCAGGTTCTAAGAACTTTAGTGTTTTATAGATAATGATCAGCACTTTAAATTGTTCTCAAAGGATTGAGAGTCAGTGTTGTGACCTAGGCTCACTTAGTCATTACAGGACACAATTAGTCTCAAACAAAACTATTTTGTTATAACAGCTGAGAATTACTTCATTCCCAGCTTAGTCCAAATTAATTCCAAAACAAGTCCTTCAGAAAAAGTCCTTCGGGCTTATCACAAACCTTTATCTTCTTTGACATGCTGCCAAAGGCCTTTCTTGGCAAAGCCCCATGAAGTTCAGAAACAAGAGATGCCGACTGGAAAACAGATTTCCTACATAGCTCAAGAGCCTTTGCAGTGTGAGCTGCACTGGCTCCCGGTGGTCTTCCGGGTGCGATTCAAGGTGTTGGTTACCACCTTTAAAGCGCTCCATGGCTTGGGACCGGGGTATATACGAGACCGCCTTCTGCCATCAACAACCTCCCACTGGCCAATACGCTCCCACAGAGAGGGGCTCCTCAGGGTGCCGTCAGCCAAACAATGCCGACTGGCGACACCCAGGGGGAGAGCCTTCTCTGTGGGGGCACCAGCCCTCTGGAATGAGCTGCCCCTAGAGCTTCATCTTAGCCCCGACCTGCATGCTTTTTGCCATGCCCTTAAGTCCCTTTTGTTCCAACAAGCCGGACTGGCCTAGTACGAATTTTATAAAGGGTGTATGTGTGTTTTAATTTGCGTGCCAAATTTTATATATTCGATTTTAATTGGTTTTAAATTTTATAAATCTATGTGTTTTAATATGGCTGTACACCGCCCTGGGAAGAGCAGTATAGAAATCTAATAAACTTCAAACTTCAAACTTCTTTTAAGCCTTATGGGAGGGGCCAATCATCTCCCGGCCTTACTCCCAAGTCTTCCTTTTTGCTTTAGCTGCTCTTGCCTTCTGGCAGCTCTGCGCATGCGTGCACTAGGAACAGGCTCCTTCTGTTCCTCTGCCTCTCTGCTATCCGACTGTGGAGGCTCCGGAGTCCGCACATCACTCCCCAATGGCCCTGGCCCCATCTCTGCCTCCGACGCAGAGCCCTCGTCCGGGCCTTCCCCAGCCTCCAGGACTGGCCCATGGTCCTCCCCAGCCTCCTCACTGTCCGACTCCGCTTCTAGCTCCGTGGGCTGCTGGCGGACCACAACAGTCAGTGACATTGTGACCTCTATAATGCCACATGGATAACTTTTTTAAAAATAAAATAAAATAAACCACCCACTTGGTGGACTTGCGATGCGATAAGTGGAATATGGGACTAGATGTGCAGTAATGCTTCATGGAGTGAAGCTATAAATGAATCCCTTTAGTTCTTAGCCGAGTTGATTTGCAAGAAAGTATAGGATCCACCAGAACAAATGTATACCTAATTTTGTGTAGCCAGACCAGTTCCTAGAATTCTCACTTAGTTCAGCCATGCCGGTTGCAATCCCTTAGCAAACAATTGAGCTTATTCATGGTACCCTATTTCATTGCAGAGTGAAGATTCAGATGAAGATGAGCCTTGTGCAATCAGTGGGAAGTGGATGTTCCAGAGAGAGAGCAAGAGGTGGTCCAGACTGGAAGAATTTAACATTTTCCCTCCAAAGTTTGATATGAATTCCACATCCCCGGAAGTGGCTCATCTTAGCAATGCGACCAGTCATGAGAGCATGCTGATGGAGCAGAGTGAACATCATGAGGTAGCTTCCATCCACAGCATGAGTAGCAACAACAGCCAGCCAACTACCTCCCAGAGCGATGCAGTCACCACCAGAACAAACTCGGTCATTAGCATCACCTCTTCAGGAAAACTTGTGGAAAACGAAGGCAGCCTGCCCTCCACCAAAGAGTTATCCAGTTTCGTTTGCAACGTGAAAGCCAACGAGAAGAACACCAAATCCAAAACGAGGAGCCTGTTAAAGAGGATGGAAAGTCTGAAGATAAAAGGCTCTCATCATGGGAAAAGCAAAGCTCCTTCAAAGCTTGGCTTGATAATCAGTGGTCCGATTTTGCAAGAAGGGATGGGCGAAGAGAAACTGAAGCAACTTAATTGTGTGGAGATCTCCACCCTCAACGGCAACCACATCAATTTCCCGATGGTTCGCAAAAGAAGCGTTTCCAATTCCACGCAGACCAGCAGTAGCAGCAGCCAATCGGAGACGAGCAGTGCGGTCAGCACACCCAGTCCCATCACAAGGACACGTAGCCTGGGCGCCTACAATAAGCGCGTGGGGATGTACCTAGAAGGCTTTGATCCTTTCAACCAATCAACATTTAATGATGTCATGGAACAGAACTTTAAAAACAGGGATAGCTTTGCAGAAGACACGGTCTTTTTCATCCCTGAAGACCACAAACCTGGAACGTTTCCCAAAGCCCTCTCCAATAGCAATTTTGCACCACCAAAGAGTAGTTCGGTCAACTGGAGAACGGGAAGCTTCCACGGACACGGACATCTTTCTCTCCGGCGTGAGAACAGTTCTGACAGCTCCAAAGATATGAGCATAGGAAGGAGACGCAACTCCTCCAGTTCGGTGTGCAGTCGGCTCAGCATTTATGACAACGTGCCAGGTTCCATATTGTATTCCAGCACAGGAAATCTGGCCGATCTGGAGAATGAGGACCTCTTTCCTGAACTCGACGACATCCTGTATCACGTGAAAGGCATGCAGAAAATTGTGAACCAGTGGTCAGAGAAATTTTCTGATGAAGGGGACTCTGATTCAGCTTTGGACTCCATTTCTCCCTGCCCTTCGTCCCCCAAGCAAATCCTGCTAGATGTGGACAATGATAGGACCATCCCTAGTGACCTGGACAGCACGGGAAATTCATTGAATGAAACAGAGGAGGCTGTAGGAATCCCGGAGAGAAGGGATTCTGGGGTTGGGGCATCACTGACTCGCTCCAACAGGTCAGTGGACACAGATTTTAGTCTAAGAAGAGTAGCACGTGTGAGAATAAAGTACATGTCTGTTTATTCATATGTGCATACATATTTTTAATATTTGACTTTATTAATCAAAGGTGGGTGTTGGGCATAGAAAAGTTATTACCCTGCCTTTTATGCCAGAAGGTAGAAAAGTTCAAGGTCAAGAATCAGGTCAGCCTGCCATGCATAACTCTCGAGATTGTTTGAAGGAAGCTTCAAGACTTTATGAAATGAAAAGTAAATTTAAAATGCCTTTCATATTTACTAAATAAACAGTCGAGGCAGGGGAAAAAGAGCAATTTGAAACAGTGCCATGAAATCTGCTTGTTCATCCTTGTTTCTTCTGTGGGAGATGACTTCCAAACATAATTTTAAAATATGCAGTGATGGGAGGCATCAAGAAAAGTTTTCAGTATTCATGTTTTCCAAAAAGAAGATAAATACAGTAGGCATGTTCTTGAAAAGCTACAGATGGATGCAGCCAGAAGCCATCCACTGAGTTGGAAATGGTTTACCTCAGAATATTTTTGGCTTGATAAAGGATAGTGCAATATATTCTTACATTACAGCTGTGATGTTTTAATTTTTCTAAAATAATCAAACTGGTAATTTTTTTAGACAAGATTTTTATTACTTGGCGATTATGTTGCAGAAGCTTTATAGAAATTAATTGCCTTTTCCTTAAGCTACAACATTGTCTATAAAAAGGGATGAGCAGATTCTACGGTAGGAGTGACACAAAATAATTCTTAATTACTTTCCATAGAATAAGAAAAGTTTAATTATCCAGGTGTGGTGGTGTAGCTGGCTAATATTGCTGATTAGGTTATTATTCAATGCCAAATTATTATTTTTTTCTGTTACGTTCTGTGTCATGGATTATCTGAGAAACACTGGATACAAGGAGACTTAGGTTATGCCAAGTTGTTGCATGTTAGAATGTCTAGATAACTCTTCCTCCTCTGTCATTTTATTACAAAATCCTTTGAGAAAAATTTGATTCAGATTCATGAATTCTTTGTTCAGATGTTTGTGTTCAGGTAAACAAATCAAATTTAAATTTTCTCTATTTGGTTTATCAACATGCATACTTTCAATGGGGTCAGTGCAGATAAAATTCTTACAGTATAAACAGTGTCTTAAGTACAGTAAATATTCCAACATTTGACAATTCAAACAAACTCTAGTGCCATACATTCTGCACAAATAGATTTAAAAAATTAATATCGTAGAAATCTGAGATTCTGAAGCAAGATTGTTTAATAATTCCCATAGGCAAGTCTATACAGGTAGTCCTCGACTTATGACCACAACACAGCCCAAAATTTCTGTTGCTAAGTGAGACTTGTGTTAAGTGAGTTTTGCCCCATTTAACGACCTTTCTTGACACAGTTGTTAAGTGAATCACTGCAGTTGATAAATTAGTAACCCGGTTGTTAAGTGAATCTGGCTTCCCCATTGACTTTGCTTGTCAGAAGGTCACAAAAGGTGATCACGTGACCCCCGGGACACGTCATAAATATGAACCGCTTGCCCAGCATCTGAATTTTGATCACGTGATCATAGGGATGCTGCAAAGGTCATAACTGTTAAGGTCGTAAGTCGCTTTTTCAGCGCCGTTGTAACTTTGAAACGACCTGTTGTAATTCAAGGACTACCTGTATTGGGATACAATTCCAAACCACTCAGTTGCTTCGGCTTTCCATATGTTTAAACCCAGTGGTGGGTTGCCCCCCGGTTTGGACCGGTTCACAAGAACCGGTAGTAAAACCAGCGGGAAGCTCCGCCCACCACCCCAGATGTCGTCATAGGCGATCTACGCATGCGATTCCATTGCGAACCGGTAGTAAAGGTAAGTAGAACCCACCCCTGTTTAAACCCTTTGTAGTTCACAGTCACTCAGTGTTGTTTCTTTCTGTTTTTAAAGGCAAAGAATGAGGTGGCATAGCTTTCAGAGTTCCCATCGACCCAGCTTGAGTTCAGTTGCCTTACAGATTGACTGCCAGTCCGTTGCGCAGATGAACTTGCTGCAGAAGTATTCCCTTCTGAAATTAACTGCACTCTTGGAGAAATACACACCTTCCAACAAACATGGTTTCAGCTGGTAAGGAACTGTGTGCATCTCTAGCAAGCCTGTGACTAGTCAGAACCTACAAATAATAGGACCTACGAATCATAAGACCTACTGTTAATTCTTGAGTCTGGATTCCTATCCAACCCAACTGATTTTTTTTTTAAAGGGAGGAAGTACATTGGCTCTGAAGGATAAGTATTGGTTTTTTAAATACCTATAGGGAAGATTTTCACAACTAAAGGATATCAGTTGTTAATAAATCTGTATCCTATTGGAACTCCAACTTGCTGATAAATGCATGATCATTATCTTAAAACAGGCATGGATGGGCTGATGCTCTCTAGATATTTTATTTACTGTTCCCAAGTCTTTTACCAATGGCCATGAAAATTGGATAAAATCCAGAACATTTGACAGACACTACCTGGCCTTAACAGGGTGGCTCCGTGGCTAAGACGCTGAGCTTGTCGATCGAAAGGTCGGCAGTTCAGCGGTTTGAATCCCTGGTGCCGCGTAACGGGGTGAGCTCCCCTTACTTGTCCCAGCTTCTGCCAACCTAGCAGTTCGAAAGCACGTAAAAAATGCAAGTAGAAAAATAGGGATTATCTTTGGTGGGAAGGGAACAGCGCTCTGTGCGCCTTTGGCATTGAGTCATGCCGGCCACATGACCACGGAGACGTCTTCGGACAGCGCTGGCTCTTCGGCTTTGAAACGGAGATGAGCACTGCCCCCTAGAGTCAGGAATGACTAGCACATATGTGTGAGGGGAACCTTTACCTTTACCTTTTTTACCTGGCCTTAAGGGTTACATTAGAATATACAAACATTCACGTCCATTGGCTAAATAGATGAAAAATGTTTGTTTTTAAATAAATCACTTCATAATTTCCATTTGTAGCACCCAAAAGGTACAAATAATTTTTGCAGGAGGTATCAAATTTAACTGCTACTTCAACATCTGGCTGATCCTTTTTCCTCCCCTCCCCCCCTCCCTTTTGTCTAGGACTGAGTATTTTAAGTCCATCATCAAAGTTCTTCCTATTCAAATGCTGTTATTAAGGGAACCTGCGCTAAATTCAGAAGTTGTTTGTCCTGAAGGACCGAAATAAGCGCTGAGCGGTTTGCATGCTTGAGATTCTCGGCGGGCGTCGTAATATGTGTCTGTTTCATTTTTCCATTGCATTCCACCCCTGTGTATTTTAACCAAATGAAAGCTACGCATAGGCTTATATCAATAACACGCTTTCAAACCGTGGAAATATAAATGGGGCGGGGTGCTCGCATGTGAACTAGTCATTCATAGACCTAAAAATAATCATCCCATTGAGTTAGAATTTCTTTGGCTTTTGACATTCCCAGGTCTGCCGAAAGCTTTTGGTTGCTCTCCACTAAAAATTCTTAAAACGATTTAAGTAAAATAGCAAGGCTCTGATTTATGGGATAGTTGAAAGCAACCGGAAAGGCCTTTTTACCCAAGTGGGTAAGAAGAGGTGGTTGGAAAGGAAGAGGCCGGGGAGGGAGGGGGGGGGGGGGGTTGAGTGGGGGCTGTGTCTGAAAAGGCCATTTGTCGAAATGAAGTTTATTTCTGGCAAACACCCATGTATTACATCAATTTCCTGCTGTGACACAAGCTGCTGGGTGGTAGAACATGTTTGAGAGCTTTCTAAAGCAAACCATTTAGTACACAAAACGTCCATTGTTCACGTGTCCATCTTCTCTCAAGAGTCCTGAACAAGCAAAGATTATAAAGGGTCATTGACTGCTAGATCTGTATTTGATTCTTATTTGTGTTGTCAGGGCCACCCTCATTTTCTCCTCTTACCTATTGACCTGGCAGATTAACTAAGCAATTACTACTATATTCATTGATTTATTCTCTTGGTAAAGCTCTTAAGACTTCTTCTTCTTTTTTTTTTTTTTTAATGTGAGTAGCTAATTTGTTCTGGTGTGGCCCCAAAATTCAAAATGGATTTTGTTTTTTGTTTGTTTTTTTTAAAAAAAAGTCTGTACTGGTATTGGCCTAGTGGAGGGAAATGATTTGCTAAGTGAGTGGATGGATTTTTTCAAAGGAAAGACAAGTCAACTCGCGGAAAAGACAACAGCTTTAGTTCAGACGGCGATGATGCGGACGGAGAGTGTATTGGCTTGCTTTTTGAAGCTCTGCTGCTGAATTTTTGAAAACAAACGAAGGAAATGCTGACTCTCCAAGTTATTGCAAATTTCTATTTTATTTTAAAATAAATTTTTATTTGAGTATAAATATTAAAAAAACATAACATAACATATACACAACAAACATTTATACAACATATAAACGAAAAGATTATGTTTCCTTCTTAAGCATTTTTTCAAAGTGACATTCTACTTATAATATATTTCTTCACCTCTCCTTAATCTAATAACATTTTTTTAAAAAAATCGGTAATATTTCCCCCTATATTTTTTGTTTATTTCTCATTTTTAACCAATTATACCAATTGTTCCATATTTTGTAATAATCGGATTCTTCTCTTTCTTGTATTTCTTTGGTTAACCTATCCATTTCAGCGCATTCTAGACTTTTTTCTATTAATTCTAATTAATTAATTAATTATTAAGTTATTGCAAATTTCTATTGCCCTATGTGGCTACTATTGAAATATTGTGGAAATGCAGATCCAAAAACTCCTTGTTGCCAATACAGGCAGTCCTCGAATTTATGACGACCACCATTGAGCCCAGAATTGATGTTGCTAAGTGAGAAATTCGTTAAGTGAGTTTTGCCCGATTTAAACATTTTTCTTGCCACATTTGTTAAGTGAATCTGGCTTCCTCGTCGACTTTGCTTGTCAGAAAGTCAAAAAAGGGGATCAGTGACCCTGGGACACTGCAACCGTCATAAATATGAATCAGTTGTCATGCACTAGAATGTAAATAACATGACCATGGGGATGTTGCAACAGTCATAAGTATGAAAAATGGTCATAAGTGCAGTTGTAACTTCAAATGGTCACTAAATGAACTGTTGCAAGTCAAGGACTACTTGTAATAATAATTTCTACCTCAGTCTTAGACTGTGAATCTAACTCTAGATTGCATGATGATGATGATGGTAGAAGACTTTGAAGTAATAGCTAAAGGAGTCCCACAGTATCTGGAAATATTGCATTTATGAGACCTAAATATCCTAATTTTAAACAAAACCATCCTTCTTGGAATTGTTTATATTCTTAGATGCTGGTTTGAATTATTAAGTTTCCATCCATCTTAACTGTTAATCTGAGCGTAGATTACTCACACAATATAAGATAACAATAACAGCACTGATTAAAGTGCAGATAGTCCTCGATTTATGACCACAATTGAGCCCCAGATTTTAGTTGCCAAGTGAGATTTTTGTTAAGTGAATTTTGCCCCCTTTTTACAATCTTCCTTGCCACAGTTGTTAAGTGAATCATTGCAAGTTCTTAAATTAGTAAATTCACTTAACGAATTAGTTGTTAAGTGAATTTGGTTTTCCCCATTGACTTTGCTTGTCAGAAGGTCACAAAAGGAGACCACATGACCCGGGGATCAAACAAGGGGTCATAAATGTGAGTCAGTTCCCGAGCATCTTACTTTTGATCATGTGACCATGGAGATGCTGCAACGGTCATAAGTGTGAGTCACTTTTTTCGATGCCATTGTAACTTTGAGCAATCACTCAATGAACTATTTTAAGTCAAGGACTACCTGTACTAATAAAACTTCTTCACGGCTTTTCTTCCTAATATTACACTTACATTTTAAGGGTTCCCCCCCCCCCATGCCTTTTTCTTAACATCACAGAATGTTGCAAATTTCAGGGCCTTAATCGGGTTTTCTATGCTGCTATTTTCAGCCATGTGAAATGTTTCCTGGCATATTTTTTTTAACCCACAGTCAAAGAGTTGGAAACAGAACCATATGGGGCATATTTGAGAGAAGCAACACATTTGAGAAGAAGCAAGAAATTGTGGGCATCCATTACTGGAGGTTTTTAAGAGGAGACTATAAAGACACACGTTTGTTTATGAGATTATTTCTGATCTTCCACAGGGCTGTGCCAAAGTTTATGAAAAGGATAAAAGTCCCAGATTATAAAGACCGAAATGTGTTTGGCGTTCCCCTAATAGTTAATGTCCAACGTACCGGACAACCTCTTCCGCAGAACATACAACAGGCGATGAGATACCTTCGTAACAACTGTTTGGATCAGGTGAGTGTCTTTGCATTGGGATCTTCTACTGTTAGAGATGTTTTGTTTTGTTTTGTTTTTATTGGATTTATATACTGCCCTACTCCCGAAGGACTCAGGGCGGTGAACAGCCACAGAATAAAACACATAAATACCAAAATTTAAAATAGAATAAAAACAAATTAAATAATTTGGCTGAGACAAATTTAAAATACCCAATAATTTAAAAACAAATTAAAATTTACATTTAAAAGGGGAAAAGATTTAGGCCAGGCCAGCTTGATGAAATAAGAAAGTCTTGAGCGCGCGACGGAAGGTGCGCAGATCCGGGATCCTCCGTATCTCCGGGGGGAGCTTGTTCCAGATCGTAGGTGCCCCCACAGAGAAGGCTCTCCCCCTAGGGGCCGCCAGTCGACATTGTTTGGCCGACGGCACCCGGAGGAGCCCCTCTCTATGGGAGCGTACTGGCCGGTGGGAGGCTATTGGTGGTAGCAGGCGGTCCCGAGATGTTCATTTCCCGTTGTCTGCTAGTGCTGAGGTTGCATTGTTTAAGTTACTCTATTAGTATAGATCAGAGGTCTGCAACCTTAAACACTGAAAGAGCCATTTGGACCCATTTCCCACAGAAAAGAAAACACCGGGAGCCACAAAACCCTTCCCGTGCCTGATTATTTCTTGAGCGGCCACAAAACTAGCATATGTAGTTGAATTAAACTTTCTGTTTTCTTCTAAAACTTTTCTTTTCTTGGATTTATCCATGGTTGGCCTATTGGGGTTTGAAAAGCTCAATAAATTGTGTGCCGGCAGGTGTCAGCCACATTGGCGGTTGTGACGCATATTTTGAGTGACAGGGAGCCGCAGCAGAGGGGTGAAAGAGCCACATGCGGCTCCAGAGCCGCAGGTTGCTGACCCCTGGAATAGATAATTAAGTGAATATATTTATGATTAGATTGTAGTCGTGTTCCCACACACACACACACACACACACACAATTATACTATAAAACCATACTACAAAAAAGATGTTGAGACCTTGGAGAAAGTTCAGAGAAGAGCAGCTAAAATGATCAAAGGCCTGGAGACTAAAACATCCGAAGAACAGCTGCAGGATTTGGGTTTTGGCTAAAGAAGAATTAGGGGTGAGGTGACAACAATATTCCAGTATTTCAGGGGCTGCCACGAAGAAAAGTGGGGGTCAACTTATTCTACATAGCACCGGAGGGCAGAAGAAGAAATAATGATTGGAAACTAACCAAAGAGAGAAGCAACCTGGAATTAAGGAGAAACTTCCTAACAGTGAGGACAAATAACCAGTGGAACAGCTTGCCACCAGAAATCATGGGCACTCCATCACTGGAGGCTTTGAAGAAGAGACTAGACAGCCACTTACCTGAAATAGTATAGGTTCTCCTGCTTGAACAGAGGGCTGGACTAGAAGACCTCCAATGTCCCTTCCAGCTCTTTTCTATTCTAAATATGTCGAAAAGATCTATGTCCAAATATCAATGTCTAGGCCAGGGGTGTTAACCTCAAATTTCATTGAGGGCCGCATCAGGGTTGTGTTTGATCTCGGGGGGGGGGCGTGGCCATCTTAACGTCATTCGTGTAGGCGCCTGTGGTGGCCCGAACGCTCTGCCAGCAAAAACAGGCTCCCGAGCTCCGTTTTTGGCTGTGACGGCCTCCTGCAACCGTCTGCCAGTGAAAATGGAGCCCGTTTTCGCTGGCAGAGGCACCGAGGGCCAGTCCTTCGCTGTTTTCAGAACGGCTCTGCAGACCAGATCTAAGCACCTTGAGTTTGACACCTCTTGTCTAGGCCATCTAACCATTGAAGCACAGCACTGTTTCTATTTTTTTTTAAAAAAAATACTGGACTGCTATATGCCCTCAGCTAACAACCGAGTGTATATACAGGTAAACCTCAACTTACAACAGTTAGTTTAGTGACCATTCAAAGTTACAATGGCATTGAAAAAGGTGACATCACTATTTTTCAGTTATGACCTTTGCAGGTCCCCATGATCACGTGATCAAAATTCAGATGCGGAGCAACTGGTTCATACTTACGACCGTTGCTGTGTCCCGAGGTCATGTGATCACTTTTTGCGACCGTCTGACGAGCAAAGTCCATGGAAAAGCCAGATTCACTTACCAACCGGGTTGCTATCTTGTCAGCTGCAAAGCCAGATTCACTTAACAACTGAGGCAAGAAAGGTCGTAAAATGAAGCAAAACTGACTTTAACAAATGTCTTACTTAACAACAGAAATTCTGGGCTCAATTGTGGTCGTAAGTCGAGGACTACCTGGACATTACCCGTGTTATGGGGTTCTACTAATCTAGGTGAAATGTTAATTTATATTGCTATTCCATGTATGACATGTCATGCACTAAATCTGGGGTCAGCAACCTTAAACAGTCAAAGAGCCACAAATGTCCTAACCGGAAGCCCCCTGTTCAATTCTGGAGCCAACCGGAAGTCCGGTTCCCCCATCATAGAGTTTCCTCCTAGCACGGCGTCCTTCCTCCTCTGCCAACCGGAGATCTGGTTCTCCCACCATAGAGTCCCCTCCTGCGCAGCATCCTTTTTCCTCTACCAGTCCTAACCGAAAGCCCTATCAATTGTGGAGCCGACTGGCAACAGGGAGCCGCAGCAGAGGGATGAAAGAGCCACATGTGGCTCCAGAGCTGCAGGTTGCTGACTACTGCACTAAATAAATAAATAAGTCCCCTAAACACTTTACCTCTCCTATACAGGTATCCTAGCAAAAAGAGCTAATAGTATAATTCCAGACTGGCCTGTGTGTAGTACTTTTTAATGCAGTGAGACATGATTTTTCACATCAGGATTAATGTAACGAAATATAGAGAGGGTTTGTATGTACGGCCTATTATTTACTCACCAAAATCAGATCTTGAATTTAATCCCAGTGCCACAGGTAAAAAGTGTTATTGGTAACAGCTTCCTGTTTTGTCTAATGCGAACGCTTTCCTTTCGTCGCACAGGTTGGCCTTTTCCGAAAATCTGGAGTGAAGTCAAGAATCCAGGCGTTACGACAAATGAATGAGAACGCAATAGGCAAAGTGAATTATGAAGGCCAGTCTGCTTACGACGTGGCCGACATGCTCAAACAGTATTTCCGCAACCTGTCGGAACCTCTCATGACCAACAAACTTTCAGAGACGTTCTTACAGATCTACCAGTGTAAGTCACTCATGTTCGTAGTTTCAGTTGTTCCCAAATATTCCCCTTTCCTCTAGCACAGACAGAGGACTGGTTTTTAATACAACTCGTAGTTTTATTGGGTTTTATGCATTTTACTTTTAGGCATTTTGTTTGATTATATACATTGCTCAGAGTCACTATGTGAGATGGGCAGCTGTCAACAAATGTAATAAATGAATAGGTCCATATAAGGTCAGCCGATGCTGCTGTTTTTAACAGGGAGCTTTAATCCATTGATTGGTGGAGGCGTTATCATTTCCAGAATATACATTTCCGTGGATTTATGTTCCCCTCTGTAAGAGCATGAAGCAGACTTCTTGTCCCAACAAAAAACCCTTTTTATTAAGTAACTGTAAGAATTTCCCACCTCCAAGAAGAATTTACTACGGTTGTATTTTGGGAAGATCTTGTTCTGACTGAGGCTTCCGAAGAGCATGAAGCAGACTCCTTGTCCCGACAAAAAACCTCTCATTCACATCCAGCAAAGTCTTTCAAGGGAGAATTTACAGTCACAGACCTTATCTGGCTTGGACAGCTGCCAGGCCGATATCTTCAAAACTTCAAAACAAGAAATCTCTGAGAGTCACGAACCAATTAAGTGAACTAATTGTCTCCTGCAAACTCCACTCCCCTTTCGTTCCTCTTTTATTCCCTCTGGGAGGGGCCATTCATCGTCCACCTGTGGCCTTACTCCCAAGGCGACCCTTGTTCTTTAGCTGTTCCCTTCGTCTGGCAACTCTGTGCATGCGCACACTGAGAACAGGCTCCAGCTGTTTGTCTGCCTCACTGATGTCTGACTCAGAAGGGAGCTGAAAACTGGCATATGGCTCTGGCCCCCTCTCTGCCTCCGTCGCAGAGCCCTCATCAGAGCCTTCCCCAGACTCCAGGAGTGGCCCATGTTCTTTCTCAACCTCCTCACTGTCCGAATCTGCTGCCAGCTCCGCAATGATACTCCACAGTGTATCTTTCCTTTAGTGTACCAAAGTGTACACTAAAGTTTACCAAAATATATCAGCTTCTCTTCCAACTTTGTTCCCTTTTATCAAATTTTATGCAGTAAACCAAGGCAAAGTATGGCATTAGAGTACTTGTAACCAACGCATTGTGTGGTGGTCATCTCTACAACTCCCACAGAGAGGGCCTCCTCAGGGTGCCATCAGCCAAACAATGTAGGCTGGTGACCCCCAGGGGGAGGGCCTTCTCTGTGGGGGCTCCTTCCCTCTGGAATCAGTTGCCCCCTGAGATAAGGAGAATCCATGACCTCAGTGCCTTCCGTCGTGCCCTTAAAACCCATCTTTTCCAGCAAGCCGGGCTGGTTTAAGAAGAAATTTTTAAATTCTTTTAATCGGTTTGTGATTTCTTAACTTTCGGGCCAAATTTATATATATTTTTAACTGTTTTTAATATTTGTATTCTATGTTCTTATCTTGGCTGTACACCGCCCTGAGTCCTTAGGGAGAAGGGCGGTATATAAATTGGAAATTAAATTAAATTAAATTAAATTAAATTAAAATTAAACTACAAATTCTTTTCTTTGCTCTGTCATCGTTCATCTGTTTGTTGAAGCACAGCTGGATATTTTGTTGGGTTAAATCAGATATAGATTTAAGGGCTACTTATTTTAAACTGGCTTTCCAGTTGAGGAATATGCTTCACTGGTGTATCTTTATTTCAGTTCTTGTTCGATGGAGTTTAAAGATAAAGTATCTGTTGTTATGCCTGATTCATAAACTAGATTACATAAATCTAATTTGTAAAAGCCCTTTTTTAGCCGTTCTGCTGCTCTCCAAATTAAATTCTAAATTTAACTCTGGCATATTCAGGGCTTTGTTTTAACCTTGAGTCTCTGGCTAAGCAGGAAATACCTGAGGGCAGTTATGCTGTTGACCCAAAAAAAAAAATGAACATTCTTTCATTTACCATGAATGGTATGCAACACACTAAAGGAAATTGCTTGAGACTAAAGTCAAAAATAGCCAAAGTTAAAGAGTTTGCTTTGGGATGCATTCATGCTGCATGGGTGGAAAAAATCAATGAGCTGATGAGAGGACTTCTAATTTTGTGCAGATGTGCCAAAAGACCAGCGCCTCCAGGCAATCAAGGCGGCCATTATGCTTCTACCAGATGAGAACCGAGAAGTCCTACAGATTCTTCTGTATTTTCTGAGTGACGTCACAGCTGCTGTGAAAGAAAACCAGATGACGCCAACAAATCTGGCGGTGTGTTTAGCGCCTTCTCTTTTCCACCTGAACACCCTTAAAAGAGAAAATTCATCTCCAAGGTGAGTCTCCATATTGGTTCTACCCGAGTTCCAGCACTAGTGGGTTGCTACCCCGTTGAAGAAGCTTTTGCTTTTAACTCTGTCGTTTTAACTCTGTCGTTCTTTTTTACGGGGGGTGGCGAGGGGCAAAATGTTTCTACCAAACTGCTTTGTATTTAATTTTCCATCCTGAAAAAATTACAAGATATTGGTTTTTATTTATGTAAAATCTACAAATTATGTAGATTTGTAAACCACCAATTTCAGAGATTGGGGATACAGGGACGCGGTGGCTCAGTGGCTAAGACGGCCGTTCAGCGGTTCGAATCCCTAGTGCTGCATAATGGGGTGAGCTCCCGTTACTTGTCCCAGCTTCTGCCAACCTAGCAGTTTGAAAGCCCGTAAAAAATGCAAGTAGAAAAATAGGGACCACCTTTGGTGGGAAGGGAACAGCGTTCCGTGTGCCTTTGGCATTGAGTCATGCCGGCCACATGACCATGGAGATGTTTTCGGACAGCGCTGGCTCTTCGGCTTTGAAATGGAGATGAGCACCGCCCCCTAGAGTCAGGAATAACTAGCACATATGTGCGAGGGGAACCTTTACCTTTACCTAATTTCAGAGACTGAGCATTGCATGTTATCATGCCCATATGTCATCTCTCAGTTCTTTTGCCAAAGAAATTTGCTCATCACCTGTATGTGAAGGTTTTAGAATCGTAAAACTGGACGGGACCTCAGAAGTCTTCTAGTCCAGCCCCGTTCAAGACAAGAAACTTACTCCATCCCAGTCAAATGGTTACCCAGTCTACATCGATATTTCAAAAATTGATCAAAGCCTGGTCAAAAGAGGTTGGTTTTGGCTCGTAAATTATCTTAACGTTATATAAAAATAATTAAAAAGACAGTCCGATGAATAAAGACTAAAGAACAAAAACACCACTCATTGTCGTGAGTGGTGTTTTGTAGGTGGTTGGCCAGAAGTTACCAAAATTGTAGAAACCTTTTGGGAAAAGTGTATTTTCTAAAACTAGCTAATAACACCATTTTTTTTTTTTTGGAGTAGTACCATAAAATTATATATTAATAGAAAGATAATTTAATCAAGAATGTAATGCAATAACTTTTATGAAGGATTTGCTATTAGAATAGCAGTTATAGTAGAAAGAAGAAAAGTGAAACACGTAGAAAAAATGAAATATACAAAAATTATCACCATAGAAAAAATGAGATATACAAAAATTATCACCGGGTCAGTTAATACTTAGTTGGGTAATGTTTAGCATGAATTACGGCCTTACAACATCTTCCCATGGAGTGAACCAAGTATTTTAGTTCTGCAGCCGTTATAATGTGAAACCAAGATTGAATGGTTGCTTCTATTAACTGGGTTTTATTGCTGGGTTGCTTCTGACTAACAAGTTTCTTTAGTCGGCTCCGTAGATTTACAATTGGGTGAAGATCTGGGCTATTCCCAGGCCATTCCAGCAATGGAATAGGATTATCTTGAAACTGTGGTGTTATTAGCCATCAAACCTCAAAAATACACTTTTCCCAAAAGGTTTCCACAATTTTGGCCACTCCTGCAGGTGGTTTTTAATTTCCACATAAGATTGCAAAGGAGATCAATGGGGCTTACTCCTATTTCTGTACATATAGTTGTGGATTATGAGAACATTAATCAGGGTCATTTCCATCCATTATATTACCCATGACAAGTAGAAATCCATGAGAGAAGCTGAAAATAAATACACTTAGATGCAGATAATCAGATATAAAAATAGGTTTTAGGTGCAGTCGCTACCATTTGCTTTAATTATTCATTTACATCCCAGACCATTAGTGCATTCTGATCTGCTTTTATTAATTAGACTTGTTCATTCGTTGACAGGGTAATGCAAAGGAAACAGAGTCTGGGCAAACCAGATCAGAAAGACCTAAATGAGAATTTGGCTGCAACTCAAGGCTTAGGCCACATGATTGCTGAGTGTAAGAAGCTTTTCCAGGTGAATATTTTGTCTATTTGCTCATTTTTAACATCTTGAACTAATATTCTGTAGAGGTTGTATCTTTGTTCTTGGCACCTCATGTTTTTTTTCTGGCTGCTGCCCTTGCTGGAATGCAACGTAAGGGCTTACAACGGGCAACTGTCAAAAACTGCACTATTCCCACTTAAAAATAATTTGTGGTTTCTAACTATGTGTGTTTGTATCAGTCTGTGTACGTGAGTTTGTGTTTGTGTGCATGCACTTCAATGATGGTAGAACTACATCGTATTTATGGGGAGATTAGATATGGTCCTGCTTTCACTAAAATGCTACAATATTACCGTATTTTGCGGAGTATAAGACGCACCTTTTTCCCCCCCTAAAAGAGGCTGAAAATTTGGGTGCGTCTTATACTCCGAATGTAGCTTTTTCGAAGCTTTTTTTCAGCCCTAATGAGGTGCTAACGAGGCTCCTGCTCCCTCCACTCCACTCTCCGCTGTGCTTTAACGAGGCGCTAGTGGAGTGAAGCAATCTCCATGCTTTGCTCCGACTCTCAGCTGTTTTTTAGAAGCTTTTTTTCAGCCCTAACTAGGTGCTAGCTGAATGAAGCGATCTCCTCCCCCCCCCCCCCCCCCCCCCCCGCTTTGCCTGCTTTTCTCATTGCTGCTTCCTCTCAGCTGTGCCTTAGAAGCTGTTTTTTATCCCCAAGCAGGGGATAAAAAAACAGCAAACTAATGTGCTGAAGCTGACCAGACTAAGGATGCTCGCCAGACGAATACCTGGTAGGCAGATTTTTTCCCCCCTGTTTTCCTCCCCAAAAACTAAGCTGCGTCTTATACTCCGGTGCATCTTATACTCTGAAAAATACGGTAGTTACAGCCACGTTCAGAACAAAGAAAACAACGCAAATGTCCGCTCATCGTGTGAACTTCCAATTATTTACTCTCTGTTTTATTCATTTCCTAACTCTTAGATCCCAGAAGAAATGAGCAGATGTCGGAATTCTTATACAGAACAAGATCTTAGACCTCTCAGCTTTGAGGACTTGGGACAAACTAACAACTCGGAGTTTGCCGGTTATCATTCTTACATCCAGGACTGTATGGATGATTTTTTCAAGGAAATAAAGGATAAATTTAAGGGGTGGGTCAGTTGTCCCACCCCAGAACCAGCAGAACTTGCCTATAAAAAGGTACAGTACATTGGCATATTTCTCGTGTTTGTGCATAGATTTTAACAGACAAAATTTAATGTAAGTGGTTAATATTCCTTCAGTCTCATGCATTGTCTTTCTGTAGTCTTAGATCATGCATAGATGTTTGTGTAGTGCATGTATTCTAAGACATGGCATGTTTTATTTAAAATCTTTCTATCATTTTTCATTAGAAGAACTGAATGAAAAATGAAGGTTGTAGCAAATCCTAACATTTTGATTTGGGGTTGTCATGAGTCAACCACTGATTTAAATATTACATCTATAAAGTAATCTAATACACCACCAACAGTAGACCATTCTCCTATACCTAGCTCAATCCAGTGGTGGGTTGCCCCCAGTTCGCACCGGTTCTATAGAACCGGTAGTAAAACCAGCGGGAGGCTCCGCCCACCAACCCTGACGTCATCAAAATGCTTCTGCACTTGTACAGAAGAGCGTGCACGTAAGCGAGCGAGTGCGCGTGTGCGCGCGCGGCCCCATTGCGAACCAGTAGTAAAGGTAAGTAGAACCCACCCCTGGCTCAATCCCTCTGGTAATTCCAGAAAAAGATGGTCTATTTAAAGGTCTATTTAATAGGCAAAAGATCAGAAAAGCTCCAGGGCCAGATGGATTGATTCCTTCTTGATGGAAATCCTTCCATTCCCCACCATACAGTCAGAGCTGAAGAAGCTTCTTGGATGAGAAACAAAACGTCTTCAAAGAAAAAATAAGAAAGCCCAGTTGCCTCTTGAAAAAGCACCTTTGGGACAACTATGACCTGGATGATTGAGAATCTCCATAGACATTCTTGATGGAAAGACTGTGCTAAACAGCTGGCCACTGTCTTTACTCAGATTTTTAATAAATCACTGAGGGTGATTTATATCCCTTCTTGCTTTAAACGCTCTACCATCATCCTGTTTCCTAAGAAATGTCCCATCAGGGAGCTAAATGACTACAGATTGGTTGCTCTGACATCCGTATTCATGAAGACCTTCTAGATCAGAGGTCCTCAACCTTTCGGACCTCAGGGACCACTAAATTCATAATTTTAAACGGATCAGCAGACGTCGCTATCGATATGTCATTATAGTCTATTCTGCAACATCTTGACTCTCCCTTTTTTGAGGACTTTAGCTCAGCATTCAATACCATCATTCCATAAATTCTCTATATTGATCTAGCTTACTGTATCTGCTCATATGAGTAGGTGGATAATCGGGGTTTTTTGACAAATAGGAAGCAACAGATGAGGCTAGGGAAAGTTACATCTAATACCCGTTTCCTCTACCAATGACCACCTCAAGGAAACCTTAATCCGAAGTCTGCAGACAATACAACAGTCATTGGCCTCATTTGAGATGGTGATGAGTCTGCATACAGATGGGAGGTTAAACAACTGGTGCAGGAGCTTAAATCTGGAGCTTAAAACCGTAGAGATGCATGTGGATTTTAGGAGAAACTCTTGTGTTTTACTACTTCTTATCACGTTGGACAGCATAATATCAGCAGAAGAGTCCATCAGATTTCTATAACCTCCCAGGATTTGAAAGGGACAGTTACACAGCATTAAAAAGGCACAACAAAGAATGTTCTTCCTGGGTCCACGCAGGAAGTTCAGACTGCCCGAGGAACTGTTGATACAGTTTTACAGAAGAATTGTTGAGTGTGTCATATATACTTCTATAACAGTCTGGTTTGGTACAGCAACCAAACCAGGACAGGCACAGACTCAAATGGATTGCAGAAAAAACAATTGCAACCAGCCTGCCTCCCATTGAAGATCTGTATGTTGCACAGGTCAGAAGGAGGGCTTAGAAATATCTGTAGACCCTCACATCCTGGACATAAACTGTTCTTTGCTACAGAGCATTACAGGCCAAAACAACTAGACACAAAGGCAGATTTTTCCCTTGGACCATCACTCTGCTGAATATCTAATTCTCACAGTGCTGTCTAATGTCTGTGTATATTTACCCATGTAGTATGGCTGTAGTATTAACATTATCATTCTAATTATCTTCTTTGCTACCCTCTCTTGTTGTCGTCATCATCATCATCATCATTATCATTCTTTTGGTTTGCATATACACTGAAAGCTTTTGCACCGGAGACAAATTCTTTGTGTCACACAAATCACACTTGGCCAAATAAAATATTCTAATCCATAAATATGATAATGGCTCTCGCTCGCTCTCTCTGAACATTGCTAAATAAGGCTGTTGTTGTATTGTTTTGTGCAGTGTGTTCTCTGCCAAACTGGCCAAAATTTTCGTTGCGATATAGAACAATCAGAAATGACTTGATCTTTCTATTTTGAATCAGTGTGGTTCCAGTGACTAAATCAGTCATGATTATTCAAGGAAAGGACTGTTGCAATAAAGATGATTAAACTCTTTAGCAACGATGTACTTGCAGGTTTGTGACGGTCCACCTCTACGGCTGTGGAAATCCGTGGTTGAAATCCCCGCGACGCCTGAAGAAGTATTAAACCGTATCGTTAAAGAACAGCATCTTTGGGATGAAGATCTTTTAGATGCTAAAGTCATTGAGACTTTGGATAGCCAGACTGATGTTTACCAATTTGTACAAAACAATATGGCGCCACACCCAGCAAGAGACTGTGTCATCCTCAGGTAACTATTCAGACTGTATCCATAAAACAACTTTCTTAAGATTTGACAGCTGGGAATAAAAACACATCTAGATAAACTTGCCCACCTTCCTTTCACCCTCATCCATTCTTACAGAAGTTGTGCTTGATTCTAACAGGACTTGGAGGACCAATCTCTCTAAGGGAGCATGCGCGCTCTTAAGTTTCTCAGTGGAACATGACCGTGCGCCCGTCCTTGGTATTAGAGTGAATGTGCTGTTGTCCAGATATCTTATTGAACCTTGCGGGATAGGAAAATCCAAACTCACCTATATGTGTCGAATTGATTTAAGGTAAATCGTGTCCTTTATTTTCCTTAGATTGGGCGGGAATTTCTATCTCTAGTATAACATGTTTGGGGAACGAAAAGTTATAGGGCCCAAAGCTAATTATTGTATATTGTAAGACAGCGTAAAAAACGGTGACCTCCAGATATCTTGGGTAATCATAATCTTCTACATCAGGGGTGCCAAACTCACGGTGGCATCATGTGATGTATCGGGACTTTTTTTTCCCTTCGCTAAACCGGGCGTGGGCGTGCCCAGCGCGTGACACATCCGGCCCGCAGGCTGGGAGTTTGACAGCTCTGCTCTACATGATCATTGGCAAGGGATTGTGTAAATTAAAGATTCCACCTTCTGAAGGGCACTTGTTTGCCCACTCCATGGTAGAAAAGCCAATTAAAATTAATTTGGTTACTTTTGATTACTAATCGGCATTGTTGGCTTGATGATACTAATGGTTCCAAAGAAATTTCCCCTGTTACTTGGCAATTTACTTTCTTAAGAATCTTTGAATAAAACTAAATGCCTTGTATGTGTTTAAACAATAAAAATCATGCTTCTATTTTTCGAGAATGCATTGGGAGCCAGAGAGAGCCTGGAGTTAGTTTTGTAGATGTTCCTTTAGCAAAGGCAACAGGCTTCTTGGGAACAAGAGCAGATGGAAAGGAGCAATCTCGTTTGCTGCCATCTTTTATTTGCAGTTAAATTTGTTTACCTGCTTACCACTGCAGCCTTTTTACTTGATTTCCCACATCATGCTTTCAAATCGGCTCAAAAGATTTGCTTACCAAAGAATGGTTTAGTCAGTCTTTGCAAATTCTGCTTTTCAAGGTCTCTTTGGGATCCTAAATGGAGATTTTGGGGGAAATACATAAAATTCTAAAAGGCCATCTTTCCTTGAGTCAGCCTTAAGGACTTATTACCTCTTTGGTTGTTTCTATTCCATACTTGTTTAGGATAGGATAGGATAGGATGGGATGGGATGGGATGGGATAGGATAGGATAGGATAGGATAGGACAGAACATTTATAAACCTTTATTAACATTTAAAATCCAAAAATACAAGTTAAAATACATCTATAACAAAAATACATCCGTAATTTAAATGTTAATAAAGGTTTATTTAAAAAAAATACAATGGAACAGAATAGAATAGAATAGAATAGAATAGAATAGAATAGAATAGAATAGAATAGAATAGAATAGAATACATTCATCGAGAATAAAAAGGCAACACTTAGTGATAGTCAAGGTTACTAATAAGCTATCAAATCGTACTAGGAAACAAATAAAAACAATATAATTGAAAGATACAAGCAACAGGGTTATAATAATAAGTGGGAAGAGATAGATACTAGTAAGGAAGAGAAGAATAATAGTAATACAGTCTTAGTAAATTATTTGACAGTGTTGTGGGAATTAGTTGTTAAGCAGAGTGATGGCATTCGGGTGAAAAACTGTCCTTGTGTCTAGTTGTTTTGGTGTGCAGTGCCCTAAAGAATCTTTTTGAGGGTAGAAGTTGAAACAATTTATGTCCAGGATATTTGGAGAAAAGTTATCTAAATCCCACCTTTTCTTTCTTTGAAACAGGGGACATAAGCCTGACTGGTACACAAAAGCATTTGGGCACTTGTGTGCAGCGGAGGTTGTGAGGATTAGAGACTCTTTCCTTAATCAAAATCTTGAAGCTAAGGAAGCAACATCCAGGTGATGGATCAAGGGGACCAGCACAGCACCGGCCTGTCTAAAGATTTTCGGGGAAGGTTGATTATCCACCCTAGGACGGATCATATATCCAGTAGATCCTGAAGAGAAACTTTCTGGAATGGGTTTGAGATTGTCCCTCAGGGACAATCCCTAGCGTTTTTTAAAGCTGCTTTTTTTGTCTGTGTTAGGCCTATAGTGTAGGTCTTAACTGGAAAATTATGGATGGTGCAACTTTTGTTGTTGTTTTTTTTAAAGGTAAGATTAATGTTCGCTTAGGTGCTGTGAATTGCTTCTGAGAAGCAAAGCTCTAAGACTTAAAATATATTTCTGAAATACAGTGAAAATTATTCATTCCTATATTATGTTAGCTTTATGTATGTACCTGTACGTCGTTTGTTGAGGGACTGCTGCAGCCACTGGATTTGGTGTTGTTCCTCAGTGGATTTTCACGAGAGTAAGTGAAGGAAGGTTTGCACGAAGGCAGAGGTGTGAATGATTGTCTTAAGTTGTTGACTGGAGTATGAAGAGCCAAAATGGCAGAATCAGAGTGTCTGGTACACTTGGAAGGCATTGGGAAGAATTTAGCAGGTGGGAAGAGAATCGGCTTAGAATCTGACTGAGAGACCCATTACAACAGAGATCTTCAAACTTGGCAGCTTTAAGACTTGAGGACATTCAACTCCCAGAATTCTCCAGCCAGCTATAGCTGGCTGGAGAATTCTGGGAGTTGAAGTCCTCAAGTCTTAAAGCTGCCAAGTTGGAAGACCTCTGCATTACAAACTTCAACTCTTCATTCCTCTTGAGTTCTTATTACTCACGTGTGTATCTAAAAATTGAAAAGTGTTGGGCTACATCAGCCAGGGCAAAGAATGGTGAAAAGCAGAACACTTGAAACTTATTTAAAAATGCCAGATATATTTCAGTGTGTGTCTTTTGTATGGTGATAATTTTGTATGTGCTCCCAGTTGAAAGGTTTCAGCTTTTCATAGCTGCCACATAAGAATACTGGCCACGTAAGAATAACCGGCCACATTTGCCACGCTCAGACCTTATATTGTTTGGAATACTTTCTTAACAATCTGTAAAGAGCATCTCAAGAAAATGTGAATGAAGTCACTTTTCCTACCGCCTATTTCTTTTAGTATCCGTTCATAAACAACATCTTGGTTTAATTGACATAGGAATAAATGCTTGTCGTTTGACAGCAGGGCCGAAACTGCTTTCCGTAGCTGAAAAGGGCAACACTGTAAAATTCCATAACTGGAACATTATAAAGTTCTAAAGTGTTTCCGCATAGCAGATACTCCTAGGAGTTAAACATATTCATATAACCCATTCCATTCTTGTAACCATATAACCTCATTTATCGACAAGGTTTGGAGGAAAATATATCCCCCAAAGTTAGAAGCAGTGTAGTTGGGTAAAAACGAATATTCGTGCCACAAAATTATAGGACATGGTGCAAAGAACTGCAGGTTAAGATAAACAGATTAAAATGATCAAGAGTTCTATGGTGAATTTTGTATAAGACATCCCAGAAGTATAAGCTAGAGCAGAGCCGTGATAGCAATAATAAATGAAAATAGGAAAATACATGTAGGATGTTGTCATTTTACCAGTCTAAAAACTACAGATTAACTGTCCAATGTTTGGGGGGGAATGGAGAAGAGTCAAATTATTATTTTGCATGTAATATTTGTCAACAGTTTCTGCACATCTTAATGAGCATTATTAGTAAGGAATCTTTTAAAAAAGCCTTTAGAGAATGACACTGTTTCAGTGATAGGTTTTACTGTAAAAACAACAAAGCACAGGGAAGATAAATACCGTCCTTCCTCCTTGTTTCAGAATATATGTATTTTATTGCAATGCGTTGGCGGATGTGAAGAATAGAAAATCATTGTAATCCATGCTGTTAAATAACATTGCTGTCGTGTAATTCAAGGGTAAAAAACCTGCCCCAAAAGCAAGACACTTCATGTCTTGTTGTGAATCCATCCCTCACCCTTTCCAAATCTGCTGTGGTGCCCCACGACAAAAATTACACTTTGATTGGCGGATGTACGACTCAGGTGTGAATGCTATGAAATAAAAAGAAAGGTGGTTTATCTGTATATTTGGAATAAAATCATTGTATAGATCCATTTGAATAACTAAAACCAGCCCCTTACAGCTGTAAATTACTGCCAAGATGTATGTTGTCACCAAAGATTAGGTGAAATTAGCAGTTGGCGTGCTTTGTTCATTCAGACAAGACCTGTGCGATTTTCACCTGGTCTTCTTTCCCAGCCTTGGGATTGTGGCACATTTAGAAGAAGCTCTTAGATACCATTGTCAGTATTATTATTATTTTCATAGAGTGTTTGAGATTACTTTTGAGAGTATTGGGAAGAGCTCTTCCTAATTCTGCACCTGTACTAATGCCTTGGGTTACTTTATTTTCCCTCTGTGTTCAATCTATAAGCAGTGTTATCTCAAGAGAGGGACTATATCCGTGATGGCAAACCTATGGCACGCGTGCCAGAGGTGGCACGCAGCGCCCTCTCTGTGGGCACATGAGCCGTCGTCCCAGTTCAGCTCTGCCATGCATGCACGCGCGCCTCCTGCCGGCCAGCTGGTCTTCAGGTCTTCGCCACGCATGTGCGGGGGCCCATGCACGCATGCACTGGGGGTGGGGCGCATGCACTTTGGGCACTCGGTCCAGAAAAGGTTAACCATCCCTGGACTATATGGTAGGTTAGAATTCTTCCTTGTATCTGTTTCAGAAAACAGTGTCCTTCATGAACTTCCTTTTGTTGGGACAAAAGCGCTGCTCTGTTCAAACAAATAAATTATATTTTCAAGGGACACCATAACCGGAATCAAAAATAGACTGGTACTGACTTTTCAGGGAAACGGGAAGGGGGAGTGCAATGGGGATGAGGCAGGAAGTGTTCTAGGTCGTATCTTCCCATTACAGGTAGTCCTTGACTTACAAACAAAGTTGTGTCTGCCAATTACAGTTGTAAACCGCAAGTGATGGGACCTGGGAGTCATATAGCAAATGCTGCAGGCGTTAAGCGAATCTATTGTTCTCTGTGGGCAATTTTTTTTCTGGAAACTGCAAGTAACTTCCTGTTTCCAGAAAAAAAGTCATAAATTACAGTCACGTGACTACGGGACACTGCAAACAGCCATGTGGCCGACTGCCCAAAACGCGGTCACGTGACCAGGGACAGCCATTGGAACTTCAGAACTGGGTCGTAAGTATCTTTTTGGGGGGGGATCCATGGTAACTTCGTATAATGGCTAAGCAACCAGTTGTAAGTTGAGGACTACCTGCTTTCCAAATGTCTTGTACTTCAAACGTGAAGCGTAGTCTTTGGCTGTAATCTGATGCCCTTCAATTGCCATTTGCATCTGGAGGGCAACCGGTGAATAAAGACAGCCTTATTCCTAGCTAAAAACCCTGGCAGTCATTCCACTGATGTCCTTGTAAAATGTGTTGCCAGGTGGAGGTTTTAGGTATTGTGCCATTTACAGTTCTCATCAATAGGTGAATTGTGTATTCTTTGTATGCTTTTCGTTTCTTTAAATATGTAAAAAAACAAACAAACACGTATGTTGTACATACCATTCTGATGTAAACGTGTTCACACTTTATTGTCCAGCATAGATTAAAGCATGGAGATAATTATTTAAGATATGCTTGTATTTATACCTCAGATATTCTTTGAAGGAGAGGCAGGGTGTTTGTATCTCAAGTTTGGCTGTCCTTTCCTCCAGTGTAAATATGTTCTACACAACTGAAGAAAGAAAGAAAAAGATAAAAGAAGAAAAGGTTTATAGCTTGCTATTATATGCCCGTACAGAACATAGTCAATAAATGCACTATTAAGTGTTTGTGTTTGTGTGATATATCGAATTCTTCTCCATTTTCTGTGGCCTTTTGCAACTGTAGAGTCTACCCAAGAAGAAAAAAAGGTGGGCATTTGATCCATGGGCCAGATGTCTCAAATGTGTCTTACCATACATGCAGATCGTGTCGATGTAGGTTTTTAGGTTTTTTTTATCCTGATGTTGGAACACACAGTTTGTTGTAGATATTTCTAGTGTTGTTCAGCTTCCTGTAATCACATCCTCTTTTAACTAGCAAAGTCCTTTCCAAACTTTAAAGGAACAAAACCTCCTCTTGAAGTATAATCCCATGCAGAGGTTTTAACAGATGAACAAGCTTGTAAGAACAGCTCTTAAAGCTTCCACTTAAACAATTTAGTGCTCTCGTTGCAGGTTTCGCTTTATCCAATAGACCCCAGATAAGCAGGCTACATCCTTATTTTTTAGTTCATCAGAATAATAATGTGGAGCTGTTTAAACAAAAAATCGTTCAAAAGCACAAAGGAAATGCTGCCGGCCTGTCCAGGAAATGCGAAGGTTCCTTCAAAACAAAAGACAAAAAGAAAAAGGGGGAGGGAGACCCCCAGCGATAAACTGGTGAAAGCAAAGGAAGGAAGCCAAAAGCAGAGCTTTGGTCTTTGTCATTCTCAACAGGATAAAAGTGCGGCATTGAGGAAGGTCAACTACGAAATGTTAGAAAGCAATCACTAGAGAGGACACTGTTTTTGTGCCCTGGAAATAAGTTCCATTTGGGAATTTCTTATTATTTAAAAAAAAAAAATCATATATAACCACGCTCACATGCTTACACATCATTGGAGGAAGATACAAGCAGGGGATCCAAAAAGTCAAGATGGCTATGACTACCATATTTTTTGGAGTAAAAGACGCACCTTAGTTTTTGGGGAGGAAAATAAGAAAAAAATTGATGGGCGGGTGGATCGGCCTCCCGGAATACCCCCAACCAGCTGTTGCCAGAGGTAAATTTTAGCAAAAGGTTCCTTGGTTGTGAGCTCTGTGCCTTGTTTTTTTCCTGCCTCTAAAACTTCTGAAACTCTGTTTCAGAAAAATTTTTCTGCCTCTGAAAGCCTCCGAAACAGAGCTTCAGAAAAAAAGCCTCTGAAGCTCTGTTTGGAGGCTTTTTTTTCTGAAGCTGCGTTTCTGATGCTTTTTTCATCCTCTGAAATCTCAGTTTGAGAAGCCGGGCGGGGCTACATTCGGAGTATAAGACGCACCTAGATTTTCACCCTCTTTTTTGGGGGAAAAAGGTGCATCTTATACTCCGAAAAATACAGTACATGGTTATAGCCCTGCCTCTTTTTTTATTAGGTTGAAAGTAAAAAATAAAATAATAAGATTCTAAGAAGTTCCTTTCCTCCAATTTTGTTGACCTTCATTTAGACTTGCAGCAGATTTAATCACTTGGGTGAAGACACAAACTAGGCTGAAGTTACAATAACCAACAAGAAAATCTGTATTTGTTTATTCACTTCTAACTAGCTCCTCTTGTCTATTTAAAATTCTTAAGGAAGGGTGGCCGAGCCTCAGCTGTATGTTTTGTAAGAGATGTAGAAATAGCAGGCATCCAAGGGACACTGATTTTTTAACCTCCGTACCGACAAGCTGAAGCCTTCTGTAAAACCAACACTCAGTCTGTAAAATAACAATTTTCCAGCGTATGCTGTGCTGTAATTTTGCTTTCACAAAGAAGATGGTATGTGTCAGGTAAGAAATACGTTAGCCCCCATCTTTCATATTGTCAATAATTGGGAGCCCTGAGTGGTCTATTGTTCGTGCCTGAAGCACCTGACAATTCTGTCAACCAAGAAAGACAGAATAAAAGGACGCAAACTGATGCCTGCTACATGTGTTTGGATTGCCACATTCGTACCCCTTGCCATGCTGGCCAGTTCCAAGCATATAAGCATCGTACTCCAAGGTAGCTAGATGTACCACATTGCATTACCTATCCTCAATCAGATGATAGGAATTTCACGAGCTAATGATCCGCAAAAGAAACATCTGTCCATTTGTACTGACTTCTTGACCAGGATGATTACTCGTAACATTTTCTTGCCAAGTATATCTTCTGAAGGAAATTCACTAGAAAATTGGCTCTCAGTCAGGCAGGTTTTTTATGCTCTAACTAATACGGTGCACAATCCACTGCTCTTCCTCAATAGACTGAGTGCCCTCTAGTGAAAAACAAGCTGCATAACCTTTCTGAAAGGTTAATTCTCCATTTCATAACTGTGTGTGGAATTGTTCGATGGCTGAATAATTGCCCTGGATGTTATAAACAGAAATAAAATCAGCAAACGTGTGTCTATGAGCAAAAAGAGAAACGCTGTTTCTCAAATTTTGTCAAAAGGCGTATTTTGTGAGCAATTCACTTCATCAAATGCATTGGGGGGGTTAGACCAGTGCTTTCCAACTTTTTCCTTCGTGGCCTAAAATAGTTCATCAGAAAGTCCTTATTTCAATAGCAATAGCACTTAGACTTATATACCGCTTCACAGTGCTTTTACAGCCCTCTCTAAGCGGTTTACAGAGTCAGGATATTGCCCCCAATAATCTGGGTCCTCATTTTACCCACCTCGGAAGGATGGAAGGCTGAGTCAACCTTGAGCCTGGTGAGATTCGATCTGCCAAATTGCAGGCAGCCGGCAGTTAGCAGTAATAGCCTGCAGTACTGCATTCTAACCACTGCGCCACCATGGCTCTAAATATCCCTGTAGTTACTGGATAATAGGTTTGTGTGTCATTATCACCACCACCACCCCAAAAAAAAAAAAAAAACTTTTACCCAATTTTGGTTAATTTACTTTGGGAACAAAGTCATTCTCTTAGGTGGGGAAATATTTTCTGAGGAGAATGCTATACTGTATTCACAAAAGAAGCTAGTCTTTGATTTGCAAAAAGGCCATAAAGTGGGGCAAAACTCAATAACTTCCTTGCTTATTAATGGAAATTTGGGGCTCAGTTGTGATTGTAAGTTGAGGACTACCTGTACATTTTAAATTTTACCTCATAATAATCTTAAATGCAAAGAGATCAAGTGGGAAAGGACCAACAGAGGCCACATAAAGAGAGCAGCTTTATTTTACAATCGTGTGTGCTGTTTATTCATTTGAAGTACATACAGCCCACTCCTCCTATGCACAGAGTTTAAAGGAGCAAGCATTCAAAGACTGTGTTGGGATTAATGGTGGGTTGCTCCAAGTTTGGTCCGGTTCTTGCGAACTGGTAGTAATGGTGGCGGGAAGCTCCGCCCACCAACCCCAACGTCCTCACTGATGATCTGCGCATGCACAGAAGCTACCGTTGCGAACTGATAGTAAAGGTAAATGGAACCTACCCCTGGTTGGGATATGTCACTCTTGCGTAGGCATGGCATACAATACCAACTGCACTACCCTGTTTCCCCCAAAATAAGACATCCCCTGATAATAAGCCCAATCAGGCTTTTGAGCGCATGGCAATAAGGCCAAGCGCTTATTTCAGGGTTCAAAAAAATATAAGACAGGGTCTTATTTTTGGAGAAACACAGTAGATACACTTACATAGGTGGGCCTTCGCAGCTGTTTTGACTGGCAATCGACAAGGCAAAAGGTAACCTCGAGATTGGGATGGCTAGTAAATGTGTCACATTAAAAGGAAAGCACTGATTAATTCAGCAATCCACACTTCTCCACTGACCGAGGGCAATATTTTGTCATGTATTTTTAGTTGCAATTTAGACCTCATTCAGTTATGCGCGTCTCCTATATTTTTTAGGTTAAGAGGTTAGTGAATAGGAAATTGTACAATCAAGTCATGTAGGGTGTTTGTAGTCCAGAAGAGGGCCATCTAACATCAGTTTCTTGAACATTTACAGCTCTAGACATATTTTGGTCACGGTCATTCCTAATTTGCAACTTTTAGTGCAACAGCCAACTTTTTGTTAATGATGACTGCAGAATTATTCAATGGGAACCTTTCAATTATGTTGAATTTCAACCCCATTTTCTGCCCTGTAGACTTAAGAATTCTTAGGTACTTGTTTTTAAAAAATTGAAGCTTTGTTGTATTTTAATGAAACGAAATACAAAATGCAGATTTTCATGATCAGTCTAATATATACATTTTATTAGTTACCATAGAGTCACTAAAAACCTGGACATTTTCGATGAAATGATGTTTAACTTTTAAATAACAGTTAAGACAGTTACAGAATAATATTTGGTACAAAGTTGGCAATTAAGATATTGAGAATTGCTACTCAAAATACATGGCAAGAAGTTACCCAGTAATGAATTGGCATTGAGTTCTAAGTTTTTAATAGCTTGGATGAAATATGTGATGATATTTCTGTCATTCTGAGGTGCACAGCAGTATCTTATAGTGTGGCATCCAGTGAATTTGGACTATATGAATTCACCACTACAAATGCAGTTTCAAGAATAGTTGCCTATCATTTGAATAAAATAAGTCTAATTCTTCACAATTATCTCCAAGTTAAAAGATGCACAAAGCAGGCACATGATGAAGAACGAATGAGAACATTGTAAGCCGCCCTGAGTCTCCGGAGAAGGGCAGCATATAAATCAAATCAAATTAAAAAAAAAAAAAACATTTCCCACAAAAAGCAACTATAGTTTTGAGAGGCCACCAACCGGTGTCTCCAGCTTGATTCCTTGTGGCCCCTTCTCAATACAGACGGAATTCATTTCAATACCGTTTGCAGAAAGCTAATCCTGCCTTCTGCTTACAGAATAAATACCACCATTCTAGTTTCATCAAAGGCAATCATGTGGAAGAAAGATTCCAAAAGTTAAATTTGTTCACTCTGATGGTGTGTTGTATTTATTGAAGTAGCAGGACAGAACAGAAGGAGGTAACTCAATCAAGATGGATCATTGAGAAAGAGAGAGGCCATTTGGGAAAATGTTACTTCCTGAGCCCAAACTTTAGATGCCTACAAAGTCTAAAGGTCTCAGCCATTATTCCCATTATTGTGTTTTACT